GAAGTTGAATAAAAATAAAAATGAAAGTTGCAGAAAATTAAATATGGAAGTTCAATCCAGAAACCACTTTACCTTAACGATCTATTTGGAAATTAAATAAAAAAGGAAGCTTAATAGAAATGTAAATTGAGTAAGAATAGAAGTTGAATAAAAATAAAAATGAAAGTTACAGAAAATTGAACTTGGAAGTTCCATCCAGAAACCACTATACCTTAACGATCTAGTAGGGAATTAAATAAAAAATGAAGTTTAGTAGAAAAGTAAATTGAATAAAAATGGAAGTTGAATAAAAATTAAATTGAAAGTTGCATAAAATTAAAAATGGAAGCTCAATCCAGAAACGACTATACCTCAACGATCTATTTGGAAATTAAATGAAAAAGGAAGTTAAATAGAAAAGAAACTTGAATAAAAAAAGAAGTTGAATAGAAATAAAAATGGAAGTTCATTCAAGAAACCACAATACCATAACGATCTATTTGGAAATTAAATAAAAAAATGAAGTTTAATAGAATAGTAAATTGAATAAAAATGGAAGTTGAATAAAAATATAAATGAAAGTTGCAGAAAATTAAAAATGGAAGTTCAATCCAGAAACCACTATACCTTAACGATCTATTTGGAAATTAAATAAAAAAGGAAGTTGAATAGAAAAATTACTTGAATAAAAATGGAATTGGAATAAAAATAAAAATGGAAGCTGCAGAAAATTAAAAATGGAAGTTCATGCAAGAAACCACTATACCTTAACGCTCTATTTGGAAATTAAAAAAAAAAGGATGTTTAGTAGAAAAGTAAATTGAATAAAAATGGAAGTTGAATAAAAACAAAAATGAAAGTTGCATAAAATAAAAAATGTAAGTTCAATCCAGAAACCACTATACTTTAATGATCTATTCGGAAATTAAGTAAAAAAGGAAGTTGAATAGAAAAAAAAGTTGAATAAAAAAAGTAGTTGAATAGAAATAAAAATGGAAGTCGCAGAAAATTAAAAATAGAAGTTCATTGAAGAAACCACTATACCATAACGATCTATTTGGAAATTAAATAAAAAAGGAAGTTGAATAGGAAAATAACTTGAATAAAAATGGAAGTCGAATAAAAAAAAAATGGAAGTTACAGAAAATTAAAAATGAAAATTCGTTCAAGAAACCACTATACCTTAACGATCTATTTCGAAATTAAATAAAAAAGGAAGTTCAATGGAAAAATAACTTGAATAAAAATGAAAGTTCAATCCCGAAACCACCATACCTTAACGATCTCTTTGGAAATTAAATAAAAAAGGAAGTTGAATAGAAAAGTAACTTGAAGAAAAATGGAAGTTAATTAAAAATAAAAATGGAAGTTGCTGAAAATTAAAAATAGAAGTTCATTCAAAAAACCACTATACCATAACGATCTATTTGGAAATTAAATAAAAAAACGAAGTTTAATAGAAAAGTAAATTGAATAAAAATGGAAGTTGAATAAAAATAGAAATGAAAGTTGCAGAAAATTAAAAATGGAAGTTCATTCAAGAAACCACTATACCTTAACGATCTATTTGGAAATTAAATAAAAAAAGATGTTTAAAAAAAATAAAAATGAAAGCTGCATAAAATTAAAAATGGAAGTTCATTCCAGAAACCACTATACCTAAACGATCTGTTTGGTAATTAAATAAAAATGGAAGTGGAATAAAAATAAAAATGGAAGTTGCAGAAAATTAAAATTGGAAGTTCATTCAAGAAACCACTATACCTTAACGACTATTTGGAAATTAAATAAAAAAAAAAA